CTCTGGACTACTCTATAAGATGTTACTTCAAACGAGTGTCCCTCCGGCTATGCTGCGGTTAGTGGCGTCGTTCCTAGCCGACCGAAGCTTCTACGTCTGTCTGGAGGATGCCGAGTCCGCAGTGAAGCCTATAAGAGCCGGCGTACCACAGGGCAGCTGTTTATCGCCGATCCTGTACGCGGCTTACACTAACGACATACCGACTCTCGCTGGACACCTGCAAGAATGGGAGGACGACGTAGAGTTGGCGCTATACGCGGACGATAGTGCCTACTTTACTTCGTCCAGAAGACCCCATATCGCCATTGCGAAGATGCAGCGACTGCTGGACCTGCTGCCACCGTGGCTGGATGAGTGGAGGATGGCAGTGAACGTGGGAAAAACAGCCGCTCTACTCACCCGCCGATACCGAAAACCACCACCACCGTTGGAACTGAGAGGACAAGAGATTGCGTACCAGAAAGCCGTAACATACCTTGGGTGCCGGATTGATAGGATGCTGCGCATGACCGCGCACGTCGACAACGTAGTCCGCAGCGCTAGATGTGCGCGGGCTGCGCTGCGTCCAGTCCTGGCATCCAAGCTGCCACTGAAAACTAAGTTAAAAATATATAAGCTATACATCAGAACAAAGCTAACATACGCCGCTCCAGCCTGGTACGCACTCTTGAGCTACAGACAAAGGCAGCGGCTGCAGGCACAGCAGAATCTATCATTACGGACTATCGTGGATGCAGGCCGCTACGTCCGGAACGATGTAATAGCGGCCAACCTGAAAATGGAATCTATAGAAGACTTTGTAGTTCGATTGTCGCGCGGAATGTTCGACCGCGCTGACAACGGACCGCATTTACACCTTAATAACTTCGCGCCGCTACACACTCGCCCTCCGGACGGGCGGCCTTTACCAAGAGAACTCCTCTCTACAGCGATTAGAGAGTCGAGTGAAATCCGCAATGCCGCAGATAGGCCAACTTCGACACCCAGGCCAATTGTGTCGATTACACAGTCGACATAACTGGCCAGGCGAAATTAAGATGACACAAACCAAATTAGGCGCCTTTTTCAGGCAGAGGCCGAATTAGGCGCCTTTAATAGAATACCAAATTAGACACATATAAAAACCAGAAGACCAACCATCCCGATTTATCGGCAACAAGGACCGACCCATAGAAATGGGTTGTGAGGATCATCCGGGAAATGGGGGAAATGCCCCGAGACCCGAAACCTGTTGGGTGTAGTACACACCCCAGCAGATGACAAGTAGGAGTCGCCACCACCAGTTCGTTGCGGGCCGTGCTACAGTGCGGACGTGTCTAGTGCGCTCCTGTGTTGTGTACGTGTTGTGCTAGTGATTGACTCCGCCGACGTCGAGTTCGCTCCGTTTGGCGTCGAGGCGTCGCTGGCGCATCTCCTGCATCGAGCTGTTATCAAGGTAAGCGCAAAGGTCACAACCTACGCTGTGCCCTACTTTGCGTTTTTATCTTGTTTGTACACTGTACCCTCTTTTTATTATAAAAAGTGTTTGCAAGTGTTCCGCATTTTGTGAGATAACGCCCATCCCATCTGCGCCTCACACACCCCTCCCTGCTCGCGGGCGCCTCGCTGGGCCTCCCTCACGGGTCTCACCCGGTGTGGTTGCACGCGCTGAGGGGAGTAAGGTGTGTGATAGCTAAGGGCTGAGCACAAGTAATTTGTGATGTCGGACAAGGGGGAACCTCCCCCAACACGCCGAAAACCACCCGACAGGCGTCTGGGAGTTCTTGACAGGCCCCTCATGGAGCGAGACCTCTTCGCTCCTGAGAGGTCGAGAGTGCTCCCACCGTATAGCCAACTCCCGAGGCGGATTGGTAGTTCATCGGCCACTGGCACCGTGCTCGGCGCTGGTGAAGCTGTGTCTCCACCTAGCGTCGAACCGGCGCCACTACCACGCCGGAGCCAAGCCTCGCGGAGACGTACACCTCCTGAAATAGACAAAGACCAGCTCCAAGAGGAGAAAAGGCTGAGAGCCGGATCAGACTCATTATCTGATTCGGCATCGCCTCCTTCCTCGGTAACCCCACCCGAGAGACAAGCCCCACAACTTGTGGTAAGACATAACATTCCGCCAAACTCACCGTCTCCAACCACCTCCCCGGCCTGCACCGCTGACATGCAGGATTTCGGTGAGCAGGATCCAGAAGGGGAGAGGGAGTGGGACAATACGTCCTACGCTACCCTTGCCCCTATGCAAGATGCTCAAACCTCCAATTATGAACCCATACCTGGACCATCGTCAGCGCCGGACTCCTATGCGCACATTGCAGCAGCGCCGAGATCAGCGCCACCATCACCACCACCACCACCTGCACAAAAACCACAACAATCAGATAATAGCCAAACGACCAAATATCCACCAATTATAGTGGAGTGCTTCCCCAATTGGGCGAAGCACTTCAAAATCATACATCAGCTGTTGGGCCACGCCCCGAATGCTCGCCCGTTTGGGAAGGGGGTCCGTTTTCGGCCCCAGTCCGACGACGAGTATAGGAAGGTCCAACGGTACCTGATTGACAAAAGCAAGGAGGACGCCACCTTCGTGTGGTATTGCTACGCCCCACAGGAGGAGCAACCCACGAAGGTGGGGTTAAGAGGGCTCCCTGCCGACACTGATCCAAAGGACATACAGGAGGCCCTCATAGAGAAGGGCTTCCCTGTCACTTTTGTCCGATCAATACCACCAAAAAGAGGCAGGCCCGGATGCCTGTTTCATGTAAAGATGAATCACCTAAGCCCCGAAGAGCTCAACAGGCTCTACAAGATTGATGAGCTGCTCTACATGCCGGGGGTCACAATAGAAGGCTGGACAGGCAGAATTGGCCCTGCACAGTGTCACAGATGCCAAGGGTTCGGGCATGCATCGTACAATTGCTACCGGCCCTTCAAATGTGTACGCTGTGCGGGAGACCATCTCGCCTCAGCTTGCCCACAACCGCGGGATGCACAGCCCAAGTGCGCCAACTGCGGTAGGGATCACGCCGCAAATGATAGGCGATGCCCTGTGCTGCAGCGAATTGCGAGGAAGAGAGGCATAAACATACAGCCTCCCATACCCCCGCAAGCAGCAGCACAAGCACCACAACAACAACCGCCTCCACAACAACGACAACCACCACCGCCTCAAAGGCAAAACTATTATCCATCACAACAACTGCAACAACAGCAGCAACCACTACACCAGGCGCCTCAATCGCAACAGCGGCAGGTGACATTAGCACCAGCGCCTACTACATTCGCGACGACTGGGGCGACATTAGCTCCACCGGCGAATGATCCCACGGAGCGCATAGAGCGCCCAAAGAGGAAAAGAGGCAAGAAGAAGAAGAAGAAGAAGGCAACCACCCAAACAGCTCAAGTGGGTGGTACTTCAACTCCTCTTCCTCCACCCATTACCACCAAAGAACAGCGACTACCACTGCCACAACTGCGATATACCTTCCCTCCATCAAATCAGAATGAGCAATCTGCACCCCAACCCCGAGATCAACGCCCACCCAAAAGGACAATAACTGTCACACCCCTATCACAGCCCCAGGCACCAACCACCATCGAGGAGGCCCTCGCTCAACTGGTGGGCGTGGTAATCAGGATCTTAGGAGAGGTCCTGACTGCCATGACCACCGGCACCAACCCCCTTTCGGCCATCTTAACGGCCTTAGCCCAACTAACAACTGTCAGCAGGCCATCAACTTAGGATGGTCTACTGGAACCCCGGCGGCATCTTAGGGAAGGTCGCCGACCTGAGAACCCTGGTCCAGCAGCACAATATCCAAATTGTGCTGCTGGGGGAGACTAAACTGCGCCCCTCTGCACAACTAAAACTCCCCAACTTCTTCGTGTACCGCCACGACGAGATCTCCCCAGAAGGAATCGCGTACAGGGGTACTGCGGTCCTTGTGAGGAGGGACGTCATGCACGAAGAAGTTGGCACCAACACACAATTTAAATCCACAAGAACCAAGGGTATAAGGTTGAAGGTAGGCACCAAAGAACTGAGAATCTTTGCCGCCTACCGACCTCCTGGCACCTCGTTTGCCCCCCAGGATATACGTACCATTTTCGACTCCACAACGCCCGCAATTATCGCCGGAGACCTCAACGCAAAACATCCCGCTTGGGGCTCCGGGCTGATCACACCACCCGGAAGAAAACTGTTTGATGACGCCGAGGAGTGGGGGTACGAGGTGCTGGGCCCAGACGAGCCCACCCATATCCCGACAAAACCCGAACATCAGCCCGATGTTCTTGATATTGTGCTGTGTCATCTAGTGCCGTACACAACACGGTTAGAAGTGTTGTATGACCTAGAAACGCAACACCTCCCCGTGCTGATTACGATCGACACCAGTGCGGATGCCGCAGTGCCCAGAAGCCTCAGAATGAGGACTAATTGGCAACGCTTCCGCAGTGCGCTGGAGGACCTCCAACTCTGCGCCTCTATCACCACCTATGAAGATGTGGAGACAGCGGCCCTGCATATTCATAATACCATTAAAGACCAACTACAACTTCATTCCCACCCTGTCTCCACGGGGCGCGGAAAGGAGGAACTCCCACGCAAACTGCAAATTCAACTATCCGAAAAACGGAAACTGAGGAGGCTCTGGGCACGGACACGATGCCCACGGCTTAAAACTAAACTTAACTCTCTAACGGAAGAGCTGTCGGAAGCAATGAGAGCATACAGGGGAGAAGCATGGGAGAGGCGAGTCGACGAAGCCTCGGAGACACCCGCCTCCCTGCATCTCCTCAACCGGCAGCTCTCCAAGACACCACCACCTGTCTGCCCACTGGTGGACAGCACGGGGAGTATGATTTACGACGCCCAACCTAGAGCGGAGTTGATGGCACAGCACCTAGAGCAACAGTTTATACCCAACAGCATAGCAGAGGGGTACGCAGACCACGTACAAGGCATAGAGGACCGCGTACGGGAATACCTCTCTAACCCGGCGCCGCCATTGCGAGGCGGCGATTTCATATCTCCAGCAGAGGTAAGGCGCACTATTATGCGCCTACCTAGCCGTAAAGCGCCGGGTTACGACGGCATAACCACCACTGCAATAAAGCAGCTGCCTAGAAGGGTAATAGTGGCACTCACCAGGCTGTATAATGGCATCCTGAGGACTGGCCACTTCCCGACCATATGGAAGCAGGGCAGAATCATCGTGCTGCCGAAGCCGGGAAAAGACAGGAGGTTCCCGGCCAGCTACCGCCCCATAACGCTATTGCCGCACATAGCAAAACTCTTCGAGAAAATCACCCTGAACAGGGTACTCCCACATGTTACCCTGCGGGAGGAGCAATTTGGCTTCCGCAGGGGACATTCAACCACGTCTCAGCTGGCCCGCGTGCTGCACTATCTTGCGGCCGAATATAACTTCGGCCGCATCTGTGTGGGGGTCCTTCTCGACATGGAGAAGGCCTTCGACAGGGTGTGGCACGCAGGGCTAGTATATAAACTCATACACAGTACCACCTTGCCGCCAATGCTTGTGCGGCTAATAGCGTCTTTCCTGGAGGGGCGGAGCTTCCATGTCGCCTTGGAAGGGGCTGTTTCGGCGGCACGACCGATTTCTGCGGGAGTGCCACAGGGCAGCTGCCTATCACCGCACCTGTACGCGGTCTACACCAACGACATCCCCACCCTCCAAGGCCATCTGGAGGAATGGGAGGATGACGTTGTCCTAGCCTTGTACGCCGACGACAGTGCGTACTTCGCGTCATCACGTCGGGTGGACATAGCTGCTAAGAAATTGCAGCGGGTACTCGACCTCTTGCCTGAGTGGCTGGACAAATGGAGGCTGGCGGTCAATGTCGGGAAGACCGTCGCCTTCATGACCAGGCTGGCCAGAACACCACCAACTCTGCAACTCCGCGGGCAGGATGTGGGTTGGAGTAGTACCATTACGTACCTAGGATGCCAGATAGATCGCTCGCTGCGCATGACCCCGATGGTCAATCACGTTGTGAGACAGGCCAGAGCTGCGCGAGCGAAACTATACCCTATACTGGCATCCAAACTCCCAACAAGAACGAAAATAGGTATCTACAAAACCTACATCCGCTCGCGGCTGACCTACGCAGCACCAGCCTGGTACGCGTTGACCTCGGCCACTCAGCGCAAGAGGTTGCAGGCCCAGCAAAATCTTGCGCTCCGGGTGATCGTGGGAGCCGGTCGCTACGTCAGGAATGACATCATTTCTCGCGACCTCAAGGTCGAAAACATCCATGATTTTGTGGTCCGTTCTGCGAGACGGTTGTTCGACCGCGCAGACAACGGGCCACACCTACACCTTCAAAATCTTGCTCCCCTTCACGCCCGCCCACCTGACGGGCGACCACTCCCACGTGAACTTCTACGCTCACTGCCCGGCACAGGGGACGCCGGGGGTGAGTGAGCGTCCCGACACTCGACGTGATGGCGCGAGGTGCGCAATACACCTACATATAAGCTGCCAACGCAGCACCCAGGACCGGGGGGTCGTGTCCTCCTGAGATGCCGCCCATGTAAAGAGGGTCTCCTCGACACATGAAAACCTCCTCCAAGGAGATGAACCACCAGTGTCGCCACCAGATCAACGCCCACCCAAAAGGACAATAACTGTCACACCCCTATCACAGCCCCAGGCACCAACCACCATCGAGGAGGCCCTCGCTCAACTGGTGGGCGTGGTAATCAGGATCTTAGGAGAGGTCCTGACTGCCATGACCACCGGCACCAACCCCCTTTCGGCCATCTTAACGGCCTTAGCCCAACTAACATCTGTCAGCAGGCCATCAACTTAGGATGGTCTACTGGAACCCCGGCGGCATCTTAGGGAAGGTCGCCGACCTGAGAACCCTGGTCCAGCAGCACAATATCCAAATTGTGCTGCTGGGGGAGACCAAACTGCGCCCCTCTGCTCAATTAAAACTCCCCAACTTCTTCGTGTACCGACATGACGAGATCTCCTCAGAAGGTATCGCGTACAGAGGTACTGCGGTCCTTGTGAGGAGGGACGTCATGCACGAAGAAGTTGGCACCAATACACAATTTATATCCACCAGAACCAAGGGTATAAGGCTGAAGGTAGGCACCAGAGAAATTAGAATCTTTGCTGCCTACAGACCTCCCGGCACCTCATTTGCCCCCCAAGACATACGTACCATATTTGACTCCACGACACCCGCAATAATCGCCGGAGACCTCAACGCGAAACATCCCGCTTGGGGCTCCGCGCTGATCACACCACCCGGCAGGAAACTGTTCGACGACGCCGAGGAGTGGGGGTACGAGGTGCTGGGCCCTGATGAGCCCACCCATATCCCGACAAAGCCAGAACATAAGCCCGATGTTCTTGACATTGTGCTGTGTCATCTAGTGCCGTATACAACACGGTTAGAAGTGTTGTATGACATAGATACACAACACCTCCCCGTGCTGATTACTATCGACATCAGTGTGGATGCCATGGTGCCCAGAAGTCTCCGAATGAAGACAAATTGGACCCGCTTTTGTAGTGCGCTGGAGGACTTCCAACCTTGCGCCCCAATTACCACCAGTGAAGATGTAGAGACTGCGGCCCTACATCTTCACAACACTATAAAAGAGCAACTCCAACTACACTCTCACCCTGTCGCCACGGGGCGCGGGAAGGAGGGACTCCCACGCAATCTGCAAACGCTTCTATCCGAGAAGCGGAAGATGAGGAGGCTCTGGGCACGGACACGATGCCCACGGATCAAAACCAAACTAAACGCTATGACGGAAGAGCTGTCGGAAGCAATGAGAGCTTACAGGGGAGAAGCATGGGAGAGGCGAGTCGACGAAGCCTCGGAGACACCCGCCTCCCTGCATCTCCTCAACCGGCAGCTCTCCAAGACACCACCACCTGTCTGCCCACTGGTGGACAGCACGGGGAGTAGGATTTACGACGCCCAACCTAGAGCGGACTTGATGGCACAGCACCTAGAACAACAGTTCATACCCAACAGCATAGCAGAGGGGTACGCAGACCACGTACAAGGCATAGAGGACCGCGTACGGGAATACCTCTCTAACCCGGCGCCGCCATTGCGAGGCGGCGATTTCATATCTCCAGCAGAGGTAAGGCGCACTATTATGCGCCTACCTAGCCGTAAAGCGCCGGGTTACGACGGCATTACCACCATTGCCATAAAGCAGCTGCCCAGAAGGGTAATAGTGGCACTCACCAGTCTGTATAATGGCATCCTGCGGACTGGCCACTTCCCGACCATATGGAAGCAGGGCAGAATCATCGTGCTGCCGAAGCCGGGAAAAGATAGGAGGTTCCCGGCCAGCTACCGCCCCATAACGCTATTGCCGCACATAGCAAAACTTTTTGAAAAAATCACCCTGAACAGGGTTCTCCCACATGTTACCCTGCGTGAGGAGCAATTTGGCTTCCGCAGGGGACATTCCACAACCTCTCAGCTGGCCCGGGTGCTGCACTATCTTGCGGCCGAATATAACTTCGGCCGCATCTGTGTGGGGGTCCTTCTCGACATGGAGAAGGCCTTCGACAGGGTGTGGCACGCAGGGCTAGTTTATAAACTCATTCAGCACACCACTTTACCGCCCATGCTTGTGCGGTTAATAGCGTCATTCCTGGAAGGGCGGAGCTTCCATGTCTCCTTGGAAGGGGCTGTTTCGGCGGCACGACCGATTTCTGCGGGAGTGCCACAGGGCAGCTGCCTATCACCGCACCTGTACGCGGTCTACACCAACGACATCCCCACCCTCCAAGGCCATCTGGAGGAATGGGAGGATGACGTTGTCCTAGCCTTGTACGCCGACGACAGTGCGTACTTCGCGTCATCACGTCGGGTGGACATAGCTGCTAAGAAATTGCAGCGGGTACTCGACCTCTTGCCTGAGTGGCTGGACAAATGGAGGCTGGCGGTCAACGTCGGGAAGACCGTCGCCTTCATGACCAGGCTGGCCAGAACACCACCAACCCTGCAACTCCGCGGGCAGGATGTGGGTTGGAGTAGTACCATTACGTACCTAGGATGCCAGATAGATCGCTCGCTGCGCATGACCCCGATGGTCAATCACGTTGTGAGACAGGCCAGAGCTGCGCGAGCGAAACTATACCCTATACTGGCATCCAAACTCCCAACAAGAACGAAAATAGGTATCTACAAAACCTACATCCGCTCGCGGCTGACCTACGCAGCACCAGCCTGGTACGCGTTGACCTCGGCCACTCAGCGCAAGAGGTTGCAGGCCCAGCAAAATCTTGCGCTCCGGGTGATCGTGGGAGCCGGTCGCTACGTCAGGAATGACATCATTTCTCGCGACCTCAAGGTCGAAACCATTCATGATTTTGTGGTCCGTTCTGCGAGACGGTTGTTCGACCGCGCAGACAACGGGCCACACCTACACCTTCAAAATCTTGCTCCCCTCCACGCCCGCCCACCTGACGGGCGACCACTCCCACGTGAACTTCTACGCTCACTGCCCGGCACAGGGGACGCCGGGGGTGAGTGAGCGTCCCGACACTCGACGTGATGGCGCGAGGTGCGCAATACACCTACATATAAGCTGCCAACGCAGCACCCAGGACCGGGGGGTCGTGTCCTCCTGAGATGCCGCCCATGTAAAGAGGGTCTCCTCGACACATGAAAACCTCCACAAGGAGATGAACCACCACTGTCGCCACCAAAGGATCTCCTAAGTGTGTGTTGTTTGTGGATTATACAGTGGTCCCAATCAACCGCCGGTACGACATACTCCGCTAAGCGTCGAGTCCGCATACTCCGCGAGGCGTCGAGGTCACCGGCCCTTAGGCAGATTCTTGGCACTTGAAGCGCTCTCGGCTTTTAAGTGTCTAAGTCGCGTTCTTAAGTGCCACCTGAGCACTTCCCCCAACCCTTTCGTTACGAAAGGGGTAGGCAGTGCGCCAAAGTGTTGCGGTCGACTATCTTTGCTTCCACCTATACCTCGCGGCGCGCATCGAGCAACCTGCTAGGTAAAGTATATAGACGTAAGACACGCGTACACCAACCAAACAAAACAGTAGTAACCAAATAGCGTAACATGTCGGACAAGGGGAAGGGGGAACCCCCCCCACCCCCCCGCGTTAGGAAACCCCCGGATCGCCCGGGTGTATTGGATCGGCCTTTATTCGTAAGGAATCTGCAATATCCGGAGCGGTCAACGGTAGTGGCATCATTTAGCCAGATTCCCAAGAAGAAGCCAACGTCGCCCCAAGGACCCGCGTCGAGCGTCGCGCTCACTCCCACCGCACCTGAGCGTGCGAGTGGGAAGGAACCGTCGCCCCTGCCTCAGCGGGCGAAGAAAGCGGCCAGGCGTCATACCCCCCCGGAAACGGAAGACTCACTACACGAGAAGCGGCAGTGTGTTGAATTACTACAGTCGGATTATGCAACGTCATCGTCAGACGAAGATGAAGCACAAACGAGTCACACCACACATAGATCGCCACCGAAATCGCCAAGTCCGCGTAAACCGACCCCCCCCCTCCGCATCGCCGGACCGTAGAAGCACTGTGGATACGGCCGACTACGAGGAGGGAGGTGAAGAATCTTATGGGTGGGGGTCAACTAAGTCGACGACGTACGCGACCCTCCCCCCGTTCGCCGGAGGATCCCCCCCCGCGCCTGCTACCAACCCCTCTGGACTCTCTACGGATGACGGACAGAGGCCATCAACAAGTTACGCCCAACTGGCGGCTGCCCCGGCAGTACCACGACCCAAGTCGCCGGAAACAGCCACCACCCAACCGGACAAAGAAAAGGCACGCTATCCGCCAATAGTAGCAGAATGCCTCCCGGACTGGACAAAGCATTTCGAAGTGCTTAATAGGAAATTAGGCCACCCGCCGAATGCTCGTCCGTTCGGGAAGGGTGTCAGATTCACCCCACAAAGTCCGGAAGAATTCCGGACAATACAAAAATATCTAATTGAAATATCCAAGGAGCTGCCATCAATGTCGTGGTACTGTTACACCCCTGAAGAAGACAAGCCCACCAAAGTGGGCATCCGGGGGCTACCAGTGGGCACGGACGCAAGCCAGATAGGAGAGGCCATCAGGGCAAAGGGATTTCCTCTTAAGTACGTGAAGGAAATCCCTCCTCGTAGAGGCAGGCCTGGATGCCTCTACTTCGCCCAGCTGGACCACCTGAGCCTGGAGCAGCTGAAGGAGCTCTATGCAATAGACGAACTCCTATTCATGAAAGGCGTAACCATAGAAGCCTGGCAGAGAAGAGTAGGCCCAGCACAGTGCCACCGCTGCCAGGCCTTCGGACACGCATCAGCGAACTGCTTCAGGCCAGTGAAGTGTGTCCGCTGTGGAGATAACCACATTGCAAGCGAATGCCCAAGGGGTAGAGAGGTAGAGCCAAGATGTGCCAACTGTGGTAACAACCACACAGCGAATGATCGCCGCTGCCCGGTCCTGAGGAGGATCGCAAGGAAGCAAGGGATCACCCTACCGGGGCTACAACCGGAAGCCCCTAGGGGGGTCCCGCAGAGTCGCCCCCGAACAGTGGAAATTCAAGAAGACGGGTGGGCAACAGTTAGAGGAAGGGGAAGGCAACCACCCCCCCCACCCCCCGCACAGCAACCACAAGTAGAGACGTACGAGGCTCCAAAAGCAACCACCGGGACGACTCTACAGCCACCCGCTAACGATGCCACAGAGAGGCAACAGCCAAAGAAGAAGAAGCGGGTGCGCAGTAAGAAGAAGAAAGAGCAACCTCCTCAGGTAGCGGCAGCCACCTCTACCCCTACCCCAGCGGTAACGATGGCCCAGGCGCAGTTCACAGAAAGGATAACCACCGAGAGTAGAGCCCCAGGAAGGGCTCTATCAGAAAATAGAGCCCGCTCTACACAAAGAGCACGCTCTACCCAAGGTAGAGAAGGTAGAGCAGAATTACCGACACCACACCCGAGGACAGTACCAGCAACAACAAGCGCAAGAAGAACACCAACATCTGCCCCAGACATGACAGATGCCATCCAGAGACTGGTAGGCATCGCTATAGAAGTGGGCAGCCAAGTCCTGGCGGATATAAGAGCCGGGACGGACCCGATCACAGCTATCATGAAGGCTTTGGCGCAGCTACTGGCTCGGCACTACAGTGGTGTCGTGTAACCCGGATAACCTGCGCCTCCTATACTGGAACCCGGACGGAATCCAGCAGAAGATACATGAACTCCGCACTATCGCCCAACAGCAGGACATACACGTAATACTGTTGGGCGAAACGAAGCTGAGACCTGCGACGCGCATAAAGCTGCCGAACTACTTTATATACAGGAGGGACGAGGTCAACGCTCAAGGAGTCGCCTACAGAGGAACGGCGGCTCTAGTAAGAAGAGACATCGTCCACCTAGAGCTGGAACCACCTCAGTACCAAACTATGCGCTCAATCGGCATAAAAATGGAGGCGGCGGGCGAGGAACTAAGGATCTACGCAGCATACCGCCCGCCAGGGACTCCATTTTGCTCCTCAGACATCCGGACAATAATGGAAGGTGAAACACCAACCATTATAGCAGGGGACCTAAACGCGAAACACCCGGCATGGGGATCAAGAATGATCACCCCGCCGGGTCGTGCTCTTTACGATGATGCGGAATTAAACAACTACGACGTATTAGGTCCCGAAGAGCCGACGCATATTCCAGCCGATCACCGGAAGAGTCCGGATGTGCTGGACATCGTGCTCACTAGGAACATCAACTGCCCGATAGTGGTAGAGGTGCTGTACGACGCGGACACACAGCACCTCCCGCTATTAATCACCTTAGGCCTCAGGGCAGTGACGTCGCCTCCCAGAGCCTTCAAGACTAAGATCAACTGGAGGCTCTACCAACAACATCTACTGGAGAGACCTCCAGTAACAACACCGATCAACACAGCGGACGACGTAGAGGCCGCTGCAACCAGAATTACTAAGACGATCACAGAAGCTCTCAACGCAGCCTCTACGATCGTCCCACTTACCAAAAAGAAAGAAGAGCTGCCACAAAAAATACAAATTCAGCTGAGGAAAAAGAGAGCATTAAGGAGGCTTTGGGCGCGTACGCGCTGTCCAAGAATCAAGTCGCAACTCAACACCTTATCAGAAGAGCTGTCGGTTGCAATCCAGGCCCACAGAGGAGAGGCCTGGGAGCGGCGCATATGGAAAGCAGAGGAGGAAGATGCGTCGCTCTACAAATTGAACCGGCAGCTGACAAAAACAAGATCACCTGTATGCGCACTATTAAGTAGTACTGGAGAGAGATGCTATGAGGCCAAGGAAAGAGCGGATATCCTAGCTGAGCACTTCGAGGAGCAGTTTATGCCGAATCCAGCAAGTGCGGAGTTCATGGAGCTTCATACCCAAAAGGAGAGCCGCGTACAGGAGTTCCTGTCGTCGCCCTCGCCAACGCTTGCAGGAGAATGGTTTATTTCTCCCACAGAATTGCGGAGGACGATTAACCGCCTGCAAGTGAGGAAGGCGCCGGGGCACGACCGGATCACGAACGCAGCACTCAGACAGCTGCCAAACAGAACCAGAGTTAGGAAAACTCTACAATGGCATTCTGCGGACTTCCCACTTCCCGGAGAGCTGGAAAATCGGCAAAATCATCGTCTTGCCAAAACCCGGGAAGGACAGGCGTAGAGCAGCTAGCTACAGGCCGATTACGCTGCTACCGCACATAGCCAAACTGTTCGAGCGCATTGTATTAAGAAGAGTCCGCCCGTGCATACAACTGCGGGCGGAACAACACGGATTTCGGAGCGGACACTCTACAGCTACACAGCTGACCAGAGTGCTGCACCTATTATCGACGGAATACAATTATGAGAGAACGTCTGTGGGCGTCTTCTTGGACATAGAGAAGGCGTTCGACAGGGTGTGGCACTCTGGACTACTCTACAAGATGAATCAACAAACGAGTTTCCCTCCTGCTATGCTGCGGCTAGTGGCGTCATTTCTAGCTGACAGAAGCTTCTACGTCTGTGTAGAGGATGCCGAGTCCGCAGTCAAGCCAATTAGAGCCGGCGTACCACAGGGCAGCTGTCTCTCGCCGATCCTGTACGCGGCATATACCAATGATATACCGACGCTGGCTGGACAACTGCAGGAATGGGAGGACGACGTAGAGCTGGCGCTATATGCGGACGATAGTGCCTACTTCACGTCGTCCAGAAGAGCCCACATCGCGGTTGCCAAGATGCAGCGCCTGCTGGACCTGCTGCCACCATGGCTGGATGAGTGGAGGATGGCTGTCAACGTGGGAAAGACGGCCGCTCTACTCACCCGCCGTTACAGAAATCTACCACCACCACTGAAGCTAAGAGGCCAAGAGATCGCGTATCAGAAGGCCGTAACCTACCTTGGATGCCGGATCGACAGGATGCTGCGCATGACTGCGCACGTCGACATCGTCGTCCGCAATGCCAGATGTGCGCGGGCGATGCTCCGTCCAGTCCTGGCATCCAAGCTGCCGATGAAAACAAAGATCACTTTATATAAGACGTATATTCGTCCGAGGCTAACATACGCCGCTCCGGCCTGGTACGCGCTCTTGAGCAGCAGACAGAAGCAGCGGTTGCAGGTCCAGCAGAATCAATCACTAAGGACCATTGTCGGTGCAGGTCGCTACGTCCGGAATGACGTCATAGCGGCCAACCTGAAAATGGAGACAATCGAAGAGTTTGTGGTCCGGTTGACGCGCGGTATGTTCGACCGCGCAGACAACGGGCCACATTCACACCTTAACAACTTTGCGCCGCTACACACTCGCCCCCCGGACGGGCGACCTCTACCAAGAGAACTCCTCTTTACAAGAGATTAGAGAGTCGAGTAAAGCCCGCAATGCCACTGACAGGCCAACTTTGACGCCTAGGTCGAAGCAGCCGCCTATACGGCGACTTACCCGACCTAGCTAAACTAACTAACTAATAAACAAGACAACCAACAATGCCGGATTACCGGCTCCCAATGACCGGCCCATAGAAATGGGCCGTGAGGACTACCCGGGTAATGGGGAAGATGCCCCGAGGCCCGAGACCTGCTGGGTGTAGTACACACACCGCAGCAGACGACAACGTAGAGTAGTGTCGCCACCTGTGTATTATCCTACGTAATATCAATTTGTGTACGATATATAACAACAATTTACAATTTTCCTTTGTTATTATCATCTATCGCGAGTTGTGTGAGTCAGTGTTTGTAGTTCGTTTGTGATCTAATACTACTACTACTACGAAGTAATGGCAGATACAGCAGTAGCTTCCGAAACTCCCGCTCCGGCGACTCCGGCGAAAAAACCGAAGGCCGCCGCTACTGCAGCAGGTGGTGCAAAGAAGCCCAAGGCGAAACCCACTCATCCGAAGACTTCCGAAATGGTCACCAGCGCAATTAAAGAGCTGAAAGAGCGCAGTGGATCATCTTTGCAAGCGATAAAAAAATATATTGCCGCTCAATATAAAGTCGACGCTGAAAAACTAGCTCCGTTCATCAGAAAGTACCTGAAGAGCGCAGTCGAATCGGGTGCGCTTATACAGACAAAGGGCAAGGGGGCTTCCGGTTCCTTTAAGCTTGAATCAAAATCGTCCGCCTCTAAGAAACCGTCGACGGGTAAGAGCAGCGGTGGCGCAAAGAGCGGCGCGTCCGCCGCTAGCTCGGTGTCGGCGAAGGTGAAGAAGAGCACCGCCGCGGGTAAGGGTAAAAAGGCAGCATCGGCAGCGACCGCATCATCACCGTCTAAGGCAAAACCGTCTGCAGCTACCAAGGACAAGAAGGCGGCCGCCGCGAAAAAGAAGCCGGCAGCCGCAAGAAAATCCGCAACCGCTGGCCAAAGCGGCGTTTCTAAGGCGAAAGGCGCCGCTTCGAAGGCGAAAAAGAGCGCCAAACCACCGACAAAGAAACCTAAGGCTCCAAAACCGAAGAAGGCGGCAACACCCAAATCGAAGCCTTCCGCGGCGGCATCGAAGAAGGCAGCCGCTTCTAAAAAGTAAGGTCCGCTGTCACCGCCTTCCGTCGTCATAACCACCGCCGCCGTACCTACCTACGTACGTACTCGTACGCGTAATTGTCACGCGCGTATGTGATTGTGTAGTGCATGCAGGCTGATGCTGCTGAGAGACAGGTAGGTAGGTAGGTAGGTAGGTAGGTAGGTAGGTAGGTAGGAAGGAAGGCAAGCAGGCAGGCAGAGTGACAGCAAGACGGGACGGACGGGACGGGAGAAGGATCCTCGCGGGTGAACGCGAGTGCCTCGTAGCGCCGCGGCATCGGGCCTATTTATTTTTATTTTATTCTTAAAAATAATACCTATAAAATAAATGGTGTACGCGTGTCGCGTCGTATACGAATATGCGCGAGCGACCGCAATGCTAAAAAGCCCTTTTCAGGGCTAACAAAAATTTCCTATGAGTTTCTTATACGTCACGCGTCAATCATAATGATTGCCTTATTATATATATTACCTACCTATATTATATATATCGCACCGTCCCTCACTTCAATCAAATCAGTCAGTCAGGCAGTTCTATATAATATAATATAAAATATTATGTAATTATGTAAACATTGCAACGAAATAACGAACGCACAACTTATGAACGCACGATAACGATTTAACTAAGTAGGTATATAAATTCGAATAAGCTAAATACACGTATATTAAAACAATAAACGTAGATGCGTCGTAAATGCGTTACAACAATTTACGAAACACTAAATACCTCTATATATATATACACACCACCTACTCAACGAATTCAACGTACTACGTTCACACTTTTAAAAAAATTTTAATAGGTGCCTAGGTAAAATAGATAACACAACCGAATCGAATCGAATCGAACGGAACCGACCGACCGACCGACCGACCGACCGACCGACCGACCGACGCGACGCGACGCGACGAGACGAGACGAGACGAGACGAGACGAGACGAGACGAGACGAGACGAGACGAGACGAGACGAGACGAGACGAGACGAGACGAGACGAGACGAGACGAGACGAGACCCTACACGAACGTAACACGTATAATATTATGTACCTATATAAATAATATTATCACTTTCACACTCCCTAATTTTCTTGTTACAGTTTTTCGTTTTTCTTCCTCTTCGACGACGATATATTATACTATTCTATTCTAACGCGTTATATCCTATTGCTGCTACCTAGTATTCTTCTTTTTTTCTTCTTTACAAGTACATTCGTTTCGCCCTCGCCCGACTGCCCGACTCCCGACTCCCAACTCTGACTTGAGATTTTCCAACTAACTAAAAGTCTGACCGGACCGACCGCGCAAACGTGTTGCGTTCGCGATCGATCCCCACCCCACCTAGTGGCGAATCGATGCTTGCTATATAAAGGAACGCCGCGAGTTTAAAAAAACATGAATTAGAGAAGAGATTCGGTTGTCTGCGCTCAAGCCGCGCGGACGTATTCTTCGGTCGAGCCCATGCGCTCCCGAATTACTAAGTTGCAATTGTGCGAAAAAAAAGACAATAAAAGGATTAAGTGCTCGAAGTGCTTCAGTGGTGTTGTGCGTCATTGCCGCCGTCAGGTTGCATCGGCCCGCCGGCCCATTGTTCTATTGTGTTAGGGATTAGTGTAGTGCCCCACGCTCTGCCAATTTCCAGTAAAAACTGTAAGTAGTTTATTACACACCGCCGTGCCGCCTCAGAGGCGGCTATTATATTGTTATTGTATTAATCTCTGTGTTCGCTTGTCGCATTAGGCGACAGCTAGGTACACACCCTAACGTACCAACGCGTTAGGTATATAGGTGTTCGTTTAAGCACACACCTCCCCCGCCGTGAGGTGGGGGAGCTTGGTACACAAGTGTTTTCTTAAAAACAAGACAAGATGGCGGCTATAACCATAGCCGAACTCGCCGACTTTTTCAGTCGTGCGTGCCCCGACGTTTGGGCGACCTTTCTAGCGCAACGCCAAACGCCCGCTGCTGAACGTCCGACCGTGTTGGTAGACGACCCTATGTCGCCCAGCACCGGACCCGCGACCCCCGCGTCCGTAGAAACGCTTTATGACGTAGGATCCCCCGCGCCTTCTGCGCTCTCCACTCGGGGGCCGTCCCCGGCGTTCTCGGACGCCGAGACGGGCTCCGAAATGGAGTTCGACGTCGCGAAACCCGCCATGCCCGATGACGAAGGCTTCACCGTAGTCTCGGGCAAAAAACGTAAACGTCCCGCCGCGAAAAAGGGCGCCGAGCCTCACTCGGCCCCTTCGTCCCCGTCGTCGTCACCTAACGCCACTCCGGCTAAAAAGACCGCGCCTTCAGCGCGCCCTAAAATCGCCAAAATCGCGAACTCTGAACCCGCCGCGGTGCGCAAGGAAAAACCGCCGCCCCCGATCATCCTTCAGGATAAATCCCGATGGAGCAACCTTTCGCATTGGATTGACTCCAAAAAAATCTTCTGCCCAAAGGTCCACAATGGTGGCCAGGGCATACGCATCCACGTCTCAACGACTGATGACTTCCGCGCTTTAACTGCGCATCTTAAAGCTCAGAAACTGAGCTTCCATACTTACGCCCTTGCGGAAGAACGCAACCTCCGCGTAGTCGTTCGCGGCTCCCTAAGGAGCTCGAAACCGAGCACATTTTAAGCGATCTTAAATCGCAGAATCTCCCGGTTAGGGAAGTGCACAGAATGCACCACCCCACCGACAAAAAAAGATACCTAGACCTTTGTCTAGTTATCTTAGACCTGTCCCCGGAAGGGAAAGAAATTTACAATATTCGCCGAATCTGTAATCTCACTGGGATTACGGTAGAGGCCCCCCGTAATAGGGGCATCGTTGGTCAATGCCACCGATGCCAACTGTATGGCCACTCGGCCAAAAATTGCTATGCGAAACCTAGATGCGTTAAGTGTCTAGGTGACCACGGCACACCCGAGTGCACCCGAACGCCCGAGTCGGAAGGCCCTCCGAGCTGCGTTCTGTGCGGCGAAGCGGGACACCCAGCGAACTATCGCGGGTGTACCAAAGCGCCGCGTAGAAAGTGGCGCGGAGGCGCAAACCGGCGCGGACGAGCGGCTAGCGCTAGTAGGTCCCGTCCTAGGCAACATGCCCCATCATTAGTACCGATCTCGGTGTCTCAACCCGCGCCCCCTCAGCCTCACACCAAACCCGCCCCCGCTAAAGGGTCTTCCGGGCAAGGTGTAAGCTCATCGGTGCCTTCAGCACCCGCGTCGAACGCATGGGTTAAGCCCCCGGCGATTGTTAGCGCGGCCGCCTCACGGCCAGCGCCCTCTCTCCAGGCTCAAAAGCCCAAACTTGCCCCTCAGGCATCTTCTACCTTCGCTGCTGACTTCTCGTTAGTCTGCAGCTTCTTCAACAATATTAATGTTGCCGAAGTGTCTTCCCTGGCCCGTAAACTACGCGAGGCCAAATCCGCTCAAGATAAGCTCAATGCCACCATTGAGCATATCAATCTCATCGACGCGATCGGTTCATTCCAATGCGCCTAAATAATAATCTCTCTAAAACAAAATGGCAGTACAACATACAGGCAGAACCAAACCTAGCTCACTGACTGTCGCGTTCTTTAACGCAAACAGCATCAGAGATCAAAAGGAAGAAATCGTGTACTTTTTACGCGATCATGATGTCGACATCATGCTAGTGCAGGAGACCTTCTTGAAACCTAGCGTGCGCGATCCCAAAATAGCTAATTATACCTTAGTAAGAAATGATAGGCTGACCGGACCTAAAGGCGGCACCTTGATCTACTACAAAAGGTCCTTGCACTGTATACCGTTAGACACTCCACCGCTTGCTAACTTAGAAGCATCGGTATGTAGAATAGCACTTACGGGCCATCCGCCCGTCATAATTGCCTCGGCATATCAGCCACCGCAAAAACCCTTATTAGAAGCCGACATCTCGGCACTACTAAATCTAGGCCCCAGCGTAGTAATCGCGGGTGACCTAAACAGTAAGCACGTTAGTTGGAACTCTAACCTAAACAATCCAAACGGAAACATATTATGCGGCCTCACGGAGAGACTTAACTTCGACGTTATCGCTCCTGAGAGCCCAACTCACTACCCATTTATAACTAGTCACCAACCGGACGTCCTTGACGTAGCTATTTTAAAAGACATCCGGCTTAACATTAACTCGATCGAAACTTTCATCGAACTATGCTCGGACCATAGGCCGATCGTATTAGAACTGGGCCGGTCGGCTGGTGAGGTCCCTCAGACCAAAACCATCGTCGACTGGCGTAAGCTCAAGGTCAAACTTGAGTCTACGAACTCCCAGCATTTAGACCCAATACCGGACAAGATAGACTCGCCGGAGGAAGCCAATAGGGCGATTAGCGCCCTATCGACTCACCTCACATCAGCGGTCGAAGAGTGCTCCCGTAAGGTTCGTGTGTCGAGCGATCGGTACACAAAGCTTTCTTTTTTTGCATCCTACCCTTGGGGGCGGGTTTGCTTCTCGCCGGAAGATCCCAGCGTTGTTGCCGATTCTGTTGCTGATGTGGTACTTCAGGGTATGGAACTTTTTATTCCATCCTCTGTGGTGCCCATCGGAGGCAGATCCCAGCCATGGTTTGGTCGCTCCTGTAAAATAGCATCACGCTATAAGCAGGAGTGCTACCGGGCCTGGGCTGACGCATCAACGTCTCGGGATTTAAACACCAGCGCACTTAAAAAGAAGTATAATTCCGCCTCCAGGTCCTTCAAAAGCGTCATTGCCAAGGCAAGGTCTGAGCACATCGGCAGAATTGGCGAGAAGCTAGTTCGCCTTCCTTCGGGAACCCGTGCATTCTGGTCTCTCGCCAAGGCTGTCCAAGGGAACTTCTGTCAGCCATCCTTCCCATCTCTGCACAGAGAGGACGACTCACTGGCCCATGCCGCAAAAGAGAAAGCCGATCTGTTGTGCTCTCTTTTTGCGTCCAACTCGACTCTAGATGACGGGGGGAACACACCGCCGACCATCCCGCGATGTGAGTGCTCCATGCCGGATGT